GTGGCGTGGGGAAGCACGGTTAGCCTGAGAGTGGAGAGGGACAGAGGGTGTCCTCCGTGGGAGGAGGAGAGTGGAGGAGGATCCTTGGGGGCACTCCTGGGGCTGTGGTCATTGTTAAGGGGACAGGGATCATGCTCGGGTGTTTCTCCAGGGTTCCAGCAGAGCAGGCTGGAACCAGATGTCTGGTCTTGTCCAGGGAGCATGACAGAGGGGCGTGGCTGAATGCAAGGTAGGGACATAGTCAAACGAAAGTGGGGACAGTGGCATGACACTGAGTGGAGTTGGAGGCTTATTGGAGCCAGGATCCCAGAAAGAGTGAGCTGTGGAGACAGAGATTGAAGCTAATCATCCTCAGACCCTGTTACCCCCATTTCCTGGGGTTTTTTTTCATAATTCTTTTCATAAAAATGGCAATACTTGCTTGAATGCACTAAACTTGGTAACTGAGGTGAGGAGCGCTGCCTCCCAAAGAGCAGCCACTGCTCAGTGATCCAGCAGGCTGCCGAGCGAACGGTGTGGTCCGTAACGGCACGTGGCACGTGCTTTTCACACGGACCTCCTTGGGACCACAGGGTCCCTGTGGCGCGGGCACTGACTGGCAGGAGGGTGGCTGTGGCAGGCATGCAGTTCCTCTGCCCCACATGTGGCTCTTGGCCCTCCAGGATCGGGGCCGCTTTGAGGAGCTGATCTCGCTACTGGAGGCAGCCCTGGGCCTGGAGCGGGCCCACATGGGCATGTTCACAGAGCTGGCCATCCTCTACTCCAGATTCAAGCCGCAGAAGACGCCGGAGCACCTGGAGCTCTTCTGGTCCCGTGTCAACATCCCAAAGGTACCGCCCCCTCCTCGCGGTCTGGCTGCCATGTCCGCACGTGGCACAGGCTGGCCCAGCTCCCTGCAGGTGCTGAGAGCTGCGGAGCAGGCGCACCTCTGGGCAGAGCTGGTGTTCCTCTACGACAAGTACGAGGAGTACGACAATGCCGTGCTCACCATCATCAACCACTCCACTGAGGCCTGGAAAGAAGGTCAGTTCAAGGACATCATTGCCAAGGTAAGAGGGGACGGCACCTGCCTGCTCGCATCAGGCCCTGTTCTGGGTGCAGGGACACCAGCAGGGCAGGCTGTGGTGAGTGCCAGAGTGCACCCCCTCGGTGTGTGCGTCATCTTGTGTGGTCTCGCTACCCCCTGGGCAGGTGGTGCTGATTCCATCCA